TCCAGCGACGACTGCGCAGGATTTCTCTCCCGATGCGGTGTCGTTGGCGTGTCGGCCAACCCCCGGCCGGGGCCGAGAGGGTGGAGAGGGTGCGGCCTGGCCTACCCTCCCGTAATCAATACCGGTGCCGGCCGGCTCGTTCCTCCGTTCTTTCGCCAGCCACGCGAAATCCTGCAGACCACGAATTTTTCTTCTTGTCGTCACCCCCTCGCCGACGCCGACTCCGACGCCGACGCCGACGCCGCCGCCGCCGCCGCCGCCGCCTTCCGTGGCCACCCTTATCGGCTTTTGTCGTCGCGACGCTGCCGTGACGACCTCGCCGCCCCCTCCGACCCTCCGCGGCCGCCGTAAATTTCGAATCGCCTAAGCCCGGCGACTCGTTTCGTTAACCCTGTTATTCGACGACGGGGTCGTTGCCGAAAAGAATAAAAAAAGAGGGGTGTACGCACGAAGACTGTCGGCGGGCTAAGCCCAGTCCAGACTGAAGGACTTTGTATTTAGACGGCGCGTTGTCTGTTGACAGTTTTCTGTAACCTTCGGCGGGGGTCTGGCCCGTGGATTTCGAATTGGAACGTTTGGCGGCGCGATTATGTAAACAGAGCTAGGATAGAGGTGACGTTCTTGGACTTTTTTCTCGCGCGCGTGTATTTCTCGATCTCGCGACTTCAGGTTCGCCGACGTGTGCGGGAGACCTCTTGTTCTGTTATTCGCTCGATCGTCCGGTTAGAGAGATTGAAGAAACATCGCTGGTAATCGTTATTTATCGTTCGGAACGTCTCCCGCGGCTTATGAGAATTTCATTCGGGAAGCTTGCCACTCACTCGGACGGTGGTGCCTTTCAATCAGCGCCGGCCGTTTTACACGTCCGAATCCTCTCCCTTTCTCTCTAGTTTCTATTGATTCTGCGAAAGAGGTGAGAGGTGAAACCACGCTCGGTGATACGCGTGTAATTGCAATGGATTGCTGAGGCGACGGCCGCGATTATTCGATTAATTAATATTTCTGGTGTTTAGAAAGCACTTAAGGGCTACCCGTGCGCGCGCTGGTTCGCGTCTGTATCGATAGCAATTCAAGGGTATTGTTAAGGCGTTCTCGGCGGCAGCGGCGACCGTTTAATCGCGCGAATGATTTCTCACGGGATGATCGTAATTACGCGCGTTGCATTCCTCGGCCGCGGTTGTGCCGAGGGGCGGACGCCGCGTAAACGTAGATGCGTGAGAGTTGCGTACCACACGCGAAACTCGGCCGCTCGTGTTGCTTAAATCATTAATTAGTGCCGCACGCGCTGCGTTGCACCTCGCCGCGTCCGTTCGAGGCTAGAGTTTTCGCATGGGCGCCGTACGAACGCGCTCGCGGCGATTAATCGCTGAACAATCGCGCGATGATACGTTCGCAGTGGTTCCGCCTTTGCGCCGATGATCCTCGGCGATCGGTTCCTTTGTTCCTTCGCTCGCGAAACATTCTCAAAATCGACGAGACGTCGAGCTTCCGAGGATTCACGGAAACTCGCAAGATGTCCGCTCTCGAAAATCCAGTTTCCTTAAAAGTAATCGAACGCCGCACGCGCGACTGGGGATAATTACGTTGTAAGTTATCGCGTATTGTATTTCCGTCTTTACTTTGTCCGCTCGTCAGGAATAGGAGCAGCGTTTAATTGTATAATAAACAACCCGGCGAATGAAATATGCCGGCGTTTCGCGTTGCCAAATAAACGTCGCGAAATCCGCGTCGAGTCGTTCTCACGCGAGCGGAAAAAATATGTCGCGACGTCAGCGTCGAGGCTCCGGGTATTTTCGATGCGTCGTCCCTCGGGGGACATTTCTGTCTCCAAATTTTCGAAACGTTTTACGCCGTTACGCTCTACGAAGACGTTATCGTGCGGATTCTTCTGTCTTAGAGAATTAACGCTCGATCGTTTATCTTGGAAAATCGCTTCTGAACGCCGATTAATCGCGTTCATATTCCGAGGGTTGATCCGACGATGTTTGCTTTTCCCTTTTTTTTCTCGCCGCGCATTAAGCGAGCCGTCGGTCTCTCTTTCTATCGGCGACGGTTACAATCGTCGATTTGCATTAACGACGCTCTCAAGGCGATCTTGAGTGGACATTCGAATGCGTTTCGCGGCTCGGCTACGTGCGACTCTTCGCGACGCATCTTCGCGTTGTTTCGACGCGGCGGAGGCGCGTCCGACGCTCGCTCGTCACGTATGACTCGATTTAAATTAATATATTCCATCCTTCGTTACCGATTCCCTTTTCTCCGCGCTTCCCGGCCTTCTCCGCCGATTTGCATTTAATGGAACGCTCGTCGGGACGTCGTCACGCGTCCGTTTCGAAATAGAACGAGGGAAACGCGACGCGCGAAATTCAGTTGCGCGCCGCCGTTATTATTACGCGGTTGTTCGCGTATTATTGTTGACTTATATTTGGAATTTTAAAAATACTCGTTTAAATTTAAAGTAAATAAATGCCCGGCCGAGGGTCGCGCCATCTTTCAGCGTTCTCTGGAAACTAGACGTTGAATTCGCATTATTGTTTTTATGTAAAATGAAAATATTTGAAAAATTTCAGGCTCATCGTGTTTGTCGGGTTTTCGGAAGATTCCTTGGATGATGATCTTTGGAAATCGATAAAGTAAAAATGAGGGATAATGCAGGAATGCTTCGTTTGTTATTGTATGGCGATAAAGGAGGTCACGATTTCTGGTACCGGAAGTCGGTAAGGAGGTTAGAGTCATTGCTGAGGGAAAATCGATAGATGGCGGGGAGGTTTGAACGAGTGTCACGGCTCTGTTCGACAGAGTTTTTATTTCTGCGATCGAGCCGAGAAGGATTGAAATGTCAGGGTTTCGACGACGGTTTTCGTGTTTGTGTAATGTCAGTCACAAGTGACGCTTTTGCGCTTCTCGCGGCGCACTCTTCACGCGAAACGATGCCAAGGGGATAAATTATGCCACGAAAGGAGAACACGTAAGTGTCCAAACAGATTGTTGTCTAACCTCGTTCTACCATTAGAAACACTTTTCCCTGTTACCTCGCGTCCGACGATATCGGGACGGGAGAGAATGTTCAGTCGTTCCCTTAAATCGTAACGGGGTGCACGTTAACGTTGCTGTCTTCTCAGCAAAGCGAAAACATGGGAGCGAGACAGAAGAAAACGTATGAACGCTTACTTCAAAACTCTGGCAGACCTTCTGCCGCCGCACCAGGAGGGTCGGAAACGCAACAAGGTCGACATCCTGATCCATGCATCAAAGTACATCAAAGACCTCCATAGTCGTACGGAGGAATTGTTTTCTGCCCATGCATCGGAAGCGCACAGTAATAAGATCCATCAGATTTGATGACAACACCGTGAAACGTCTGCGACCCGTTGTTTAATTTCTTGTTGTTACTTCTGCGCAGAGGAAGAATTGGCTCGTCTGAAAAAACTTGTAACCCAGCTGTTCTCTCGTACACAGTTATTGTCGACACTGTTGCGAGAGGCTGGGATCACTGTACCTGCAGAACCAGCCCTTGAAAAGATATCCCCGTTGAAATGGTCGAATAAAATTAATGTAGAGGACGCAGAGAAGTACTTCAATAAGTTAGAAGAAAGTAAGATGAAACGCTAAGGGATTAATGTTAAAGAGTTTTCTAGCTACTTAAAGAATGGTTGGTTTCAGTAAAAAGTTCTGAGAGCAAGAGGGAAAAGTCTGCAGAACTTAAAGTGCCTTCTAAGAGAAAATCTGTGAATCCTTCTCAGTCATCTGCTAAAAAATTGGTGGAGAATAGTGATATTTCGAAGAATGTGGATAGTTTGATTGAAAATCAGGAGAATCAAGTGAATTGTGCAAACAGTAAGGATGATAATTTGGATTCAATAGGAAATGTATCGGAAACTGTATCAAAAGAATCTGAATGTTGCCAAACAAATACAAGTAAATATTTGTTTTCAATGGGTACTTCAATTCACGTATGTAATAAAGATTATAATTTATAGTTATTTTTTATTAGATTCTGATGCATCAGAGAATGTTCCAGTAAGTGATAAAACGAATAATGGTAAGTACCAGTGAACTTTGAGTAATATTAAATAAAATTCTGCAGTAAGTTCTATAATTGATGTGTGGCTTTCAGCATTGCAGAAGGTAGAATCCCAGAAAAAGGTAAAAAGAAAAACAAAGAAAAAGGATGGAAAAAAATCTGTAGCACCTTGTATAAATAATTCTGTAACTAATTTGACTCCAAATACTCTTATACTGTCTGGTGGTAAATTGATGCCTTTAGTAACACCTATGACATCAAATATCATTGTGAATACTCAACAGCAACCAGCGAATCCCATAATCCTTAGCAATACGCAACAAAATCAGATGTTTGTTATGCAACCTTTGACCAATCGTGTACAGAACTCTGTTGTCTCTATTTGTAATCAGGCGTTAATTAACACTGTACAAAAGGTGACCTTGAATACCGTCCCAAGTATTCGCACAAATGTAGTAGTAGACTCGCAGAATTGGGCTTCGAATGTGAAGAATATAATTAACGCGACGAAAATCGGCGGTCACAAAGGTATCCTGCCTAAAGGCAAAGAAGTGACAAAAACAACGATGACGTATAAAGTTCCTATTCCAGCGATTCATAAAGAAAAGGTGGACAAACCGAAAGAAAGTAAGAAAGAGGAAGTTAAACCTAAAGGGAATAAAAATCACGCGAAGGGCTCAAAGAATCCACAGGTTTCAGAAGCAGTGGAGGAGAAGAGTGAAAAAGAGAAACTCGGAAGAACTACAGAAATCTCAAGTTCTCCTCAAAAATGTTCTCTAAAGCGCCCTTTAAATGTAGAAATCGGTACCAGTGATGAACCGGTTGATAAAAAACAAAAGATCAATGAAAACAATGAAAACCCTGCTACAACGTTGTCAGCATCTGTAACGAAGGCAGACTTTGCTGTGACTTGTAAATCAATTGAAAGTCTGAAGCATGTGATAGAAAAAATAGGCGAAAATGCGAATGAAAATCAAGATAACAGTCATATTCTGCTTGAATCGAATGAAAAAGAATCTTCTACAGAGGCCAATGCAGAATGTCCAGTTTCATTATATTCCCCCAACAAGGATATCTCTGAAACATCAAAGACCATAAGCGATATAGAATGTGAAACGAAGAAGCTCCAAGACGTATCGGTATCAGATTCGGTGTCGCCTGTAACTTTTTCGGAAGAGCATTTGAAACCGACTAATGAAGTTGTTTCTGCATCCTCCGATACCGAATTCAGTATTCCAGTAGACAACGCATTAGAAAAATCGGAGAATAATATGGATGGTTCGAGTTCTAAATCTTCTCTGACAGAAGTAGAAGAGGCTGTTCAAGAATCTGTAGATTCCAAGAAGGTGAAAGAGGTGTGCAACTTAGGCACAGAATTCGACAATTTGTTGCAAGTTACACCGAAAGATCCAGATGCCATTGAAGGGACACCGAACTTGGAGAATAATAAAATTATTTTAAATCTTGATACAAATATCACGACAACCTTGAAACCGGAAACGAATGTAACGGTTCAAACTTCTGATACTACCACAGAATCGTCATCGTTACTTCCAGTTAACATAGCCGAAGACGAGTCCAAGCTGGCCAAAGCATCTAAGGATGATGGACCAAAACCGTCGCTGCCCTACAATACAGAAAATTCTTTTGTGCCTATTGGCAATAGAGCTGATGGTCTCCACTCTGATTTATCCAATGACATATTCGCTTCCCTTCAAGTACCTTCCAGCTCGCACAATTCTGAATCCATATCACCTACTGCTGCATTTTTAATGGCTTTCCCGCTGGTATCCTCTTTGAACGGTAAAACTGAAGTCCTTGAAGAGGAGATGAAAGAGGATTTCAAGTATCATAGTCAAACTCCGCCCATGTTATTGCAAATTGGAACTATGGAACCCAATAGCTTCAAAATCAAGACATCATCGCCGTCTCATTCAATCGCAGAAAAACGTTTAAAGGTGACTTGCGAAGAGAAGAAAACTATAAATCCACCGGTCAGTGAATCTGTAACTACAGAGATGATTGCTACTGTGGAGTGCAGTACTTCTACAAAAGCTTTGCCCAAGGTTGTGAATAACGAACCCCTTAGGGAACCTTATAAAATTGTGCAAACTGTGTTACCAACTTTGGAGAAGACTGCTCCCCCTAACTCATTTCCACAAACAACCTTATACTCTATTGCGAGCGCATCGACCAGTAATTCCATCAATACCAATACTCAATCGGGAGGAAACTGTCAAAATCAGCTCACAAGAAACTTGCAGAACACTATTGCTACTAGTGAAAATATTATTGATTCTCAAATTGGTACTGTGTCCACCTCAAATAAAACAGATCAAACTAGTTGCCCAGTTCAGGTATCCACTTGTGACACTAGTGTTCGTTACTCGGCTTCTCAAGATTTCCTGTCAAGTTATTCAACTGTTGTCGATAACACTCTGACGAATCTACAACAGAATTCAACTGTTTGTAGCAACGGAACTATTTCAACTATTTCAGAAGTGAATCCTGCAGGACTTGATCAGAGTGCGTCTCAAGCATCTTTGGTTTCACACCTAGTCAATACAACAACCACTACGAATGCTTCTTCTTTGCCTTTACAAACTATGCAGGTGGATTACACATCTCAAATGAAAGACAAGGATTCCCACAATTCCCGCATTTCTTATGGAGTTGATGGAAAAGATAATTTAGTTAATTCCAGCATTGCGCCTAATGCAAGACTCAATTATACTGGTCACATTGACAGAGTTCTTCCTACTTCATCTCAGAACATACAACAAGATTATTCTATACAATCCAAGGATGCATCTCTACCTATTCTATCTGCGCAAGGTATTCAAAGTGTGTATGATTCGCAGTCTAAAAACAATCATGTTCTAACCACACCACCGAATATTCATAATGAGTATTCTGTGGATCAGAATAAAAATCTCTCACGAAAGGATACCATATCTTATCCCACGGGAACTGGCAATGCTTCAACTAGAACTCAAACTTATTCTTCTAAGGACCCCATACCCAATTCATCTGAAAACCATTTTCAACATAACTATCCAAAGATGAAAGATTCCGAATCGTCGGTAAATAACATTGTAGATCAAGATGCAAAGTTGAATGATATTCTGAGATCGAAGTCGCAAGAGACACAAGATCACAGACGGGAGGCGAGTTACAACTCATCGAAGAAAATTGATGTTGATCCTTTCGCTCAAACATTCTCTTATGGTGTAAAGAAATCCATAAGCGCACAAACTGAACAAAACGTTATGAGTCAGAACACGGAGAACCTGTTCCAAGGGAAACGGGAAGACACTCAAAATTACACTTCTTATTCCAACAAGGACATAAAGAAGATCAACACCAGTTCCTCGAATCCTGTAAGTTCTAAACCTTTAATTCAAAACGTCCCTGTTTCACGTTACTCGCAGCAACCGACTTCCTTCGTTGCCACGTCCAATTTTGAGCAAAGCACCGTTACGGATAATCATGCTAAATCAACTACCACCGTTGCCCAGAACTCTTCGAATTTCAGTATTTTATCTTGGACTACTTTATCGCCTGTTGGCGGTACTGGTAACAATAATTTGGTGCAGTTTGAGCAAGGACAAAGTCAGACAGAAACCACGGAGCAAAAAGCCATCTGTGAAAGTTATAATTATGTTCCTTTACACAAGGAAAATTCAAACTTCTCCGCAGTGTTGACGAATGATGTTTACTCGGGCAATTCAACTGTGGCTAACATAGATAAGTCGAGAATGAAGTCCGGAATGGAACCACAGAAGCCCTTCGTTGACCCTTCCAAGGCAAGAAATATTCAGACGAATGTCCCGCCGTCTGGTAAACAAAGTCGGATGCAAAGTCAAAGTCAAACTTCATCCAGTAACAATGATTACACTAAGTACAACACTGAAAATAAAAATAAGTCCAAGTACGGAATAGAATCAGAGTATATTCAGAATGAGTATCCAGGTATGGAACAGCAGTCACAACAGCAACACGGACCGAAGAATCATCAGTCTATGCCACAGAAGCAGGACAAGGCTATATATCCAATGTCCAATTATGATTCACAGGTCAACTTTGATTTGCCAGAAGTTAGCACGCAGATGAAGTACTCTGTAGATTATACCAGTTCAAATTTCAAATATCCGGATAAATCCCAGCAACATAATCAGATTAAATATCCACCACTAGTTCAAGGACAAATTCCCTCTCTTCAGCATGAAAGTGTTTCATATGCCAATGACGGCAAGCATGCACAACAACAGAGTGCCACAAAGTCCAAGTCGAATCAACAACAGCATGCTATCAGAGCTCCTGTAAACTGGATGATGACACCTGAAATCAAGCATAACACGAATATTGCCGACATAATTTTACCACCTATTGGAAAGGAACTTGACTTTTGTCAGAATAATCTGTTTGCTCAGACTCCGTCGTACAACCAAGGAACACCTAATCAGTTTTATAACAACTATGACGTAACAGCCCACAGTTTCCCCAATTTACCCGTTCTGCAAAGTGAACCAAAGAGAACTTCAGACGTATTTTATTCTGAAGAGCAACCGTTCCCATGGTCTCCTACAAAGACCAGTGTTCATGTCGAACAATCTCAACCAGTTAAAGGTATAGAGCAGCACATTGTACCTTCCAGTCTTCCAACTTTAGTCGGAGATTTGGACCTAGGTACTAATATACCTGAGAAACAGAATTTCCTGTTCAGTCAGGTACCGTCTAGAGTTCCATCTGACCAGAATAAAGACCCCATCAAAGATAAAGAAGGTGCCGTAGCTGCACGTGATTTCCATACAGTGTTAAATACTCAAACGGTACAACATCCAGGAGCTGGTTCATCGTTCCTTTCTGTGAGTCAATTGGTGGAGCACGAGAAGGCTGAAAAATCTCATCAGCAGCATCACCAGCAGCACCATCATCACCATCACCATCACCATCATTCCCATCAACATCAACAGCAGCAGCAGCAGCAACAACAGCAACAACAACAGCAGCAGCAGCAGCAACAGCAGCAACAACAGCAAGCCAGAAAACATCAAAGAAAAAGTAACACTAGTCCTAGGGGAAATAGTAAGCGGCAAATAGACCTTCGTAAACAGACATCGGGTAACGATCAGTTGCATCAGAGGCACGAAGACCAAAAGTCATCGGGTCACACCTTCTCAGAACAAGGGTATCAGCAACAACAGCAGCAGCAGAAATATCAGCAGAATAATGTTCACTGGAGAAGCAGGAACTGTAAGAGCAATTACACTGCAGAGGCATTGATTGGAACTAATAGTAGTGTCCATGATACAATCCAGGATAAACATGCTTCTATAAAGTTTACTACCAACTACCCTCAGAATAAATTTCAAACTAGTCTACCAACTGCGGATACCGTCATGCCCATCAATTATTTTTCTAATACCGATGATGGAAGTGGGTACGGGCAAATGGTTAATCAGAATTTCAATTCGTATACATACTCTTCCAATACAAACATTTATCCTACTTCAAACTTTATAACTAGTATATCAAATACTCCCACCAGTTACATGATGCCATTACACGATAACACCGATTACATGGAAACAAACGCGTTTCTTCTACCAAACGTGGCAACTTCCTCCAGTGCCACTTCATCGTCCACTTCTACAGTAACAACCTCGACCACTAATGTAAATACAAACACAAAGAACCACCAGCACTACGCGAAACATCAGAACTGTGACAAAAGGACATACTCTACAAATGCAAAGAAAGGGAAAAGAAAAGGTCTAGACGGGACAATGCAGAATTTAGAGTTCCCGCTTTCCGGCATTAATTCACCCTTGGAGGATTATCATCATTCGGCTACCTTCTTGCCACCACCACCACCGCCGCATGCTAGCCCCCTGTATCAAAACCATCCACAAGCAAATGTATACACAAAAGCTGTAAATAGTTTACCACCGCCACCAGCAGTTGCTGGTCCTCAAGGTGTACCGACTGTAGCCACACCCGGATTTTCAATGAATCCAAACATGCCAAGAGGAGGAATCGTTTCAAGCAACCCAATGGCTATGACCCATCATCCCTCGGGCACCAGTCTTACCAATTTTAACTTGAGTACCATATTTCCTGAGATGAATGACAAAGTATGTGGATCTACAGATTACACCAATCCCTTATACTTACATTGATATACTAATTTTTTCAATTGTTTATCAGATTACAGGATACAAACCGCCGAACGGTATACCAACTGGTTTGACACAACCACCGAATCAGACCACAGCTTACACACAGAGAACCAATTATCCGACGAACCCACTCTGTCACTTGCCTCAGGTTTGTTGCGTGAAAAACTGAACATTCCATGAATTTACATTAAATGTAAATATCGTCTTCAGGTATCTGAAGGAAGCCAATTTGGTAACAGTGTTCCTCCTCCTCCTCCTCCACCTCCTCCTGGAGTAATACATTATAAGAATGTATGATAAAGTAAGTATGAATGGGGAATGAGTCATTGACCATTGTATATATGTACATAATTATGTAATTGATTAAATTAAATTAAATTCAAAACGAATTGAGTTAATAACAATGACAATATAATTTTAGAAGATCTTATTGCGTGCTTGGTTACAATTTAAATGTTGTTTACAAAAGGAGCGTTTCCTTGAATTTTATAAACAAAAAGAGTCATGTTCAAACAGCAAATATATTATTTATCGTCACTATAGATCTGTGAAATTGGTCCTAATCATAATTGTATAGTAAAAAAATATCACAGCTTATAATTGTATTATTAACCTCCTATAAATTGAGTTATCTCATAGCTTTGGTAGGCGGTTTTAATGGAATCTTGCCGAAAGTAAACTTCTCTGCCAAATACATGCTTTTCTCATCATCGGTCAATTGATCTTCCGCTGTATAAATACTATCATCAATGATAGTAGCGGTCATAGTAACGCCAAATGCAGGTTTACCAAATGGCTCACTGGAGGATACAGTAACAGTATTAGCCGTTTGATTTTGTGCAAAATTGCCGAACGGTGAAGTGGTTTGTTGTGTCCTCGGTGCAAACGGATTGGTAGTTGTAGTTGTGACTGTAGTATTAGTGGTAGCGAAGGGTGAACTCTTCAAATCACCGCCAATTGTAGAGGGTGTGAAAGGGGAGGTTGTAGTGCTAGGTGTACCAAAGGTCAGTCCAGTATTTGTAGTAGTTCCAAAAGGTGTACCGGATGATGTCACAGTAGTACCAAACATTTCACTGGTACTCGTGGACATACCAAATGTGGGTCGCGAGAAGGGTCCAGCAGTTGAGTTCGCGGCTTCAAATTGTGAGGTTGCAGGAGCAAAAGGACTGCTAGTTGCAGTGGTAGCTGTACCAAATGGGGTTGCACTAGAGGTTGATATAACAGATGTAGTTGGAACATTACTACCAAATAAGTTCACAGCAGGCGTAGACACAGTAGCTCCGAAAGCATTTGTAGGTTGAGCAGCTGAGCTAAATGTCGGAGTAGTGTTATTGGTTCCACCAAATATATTGTTAGAACCGCCAAATCCTGGTTGTTCGCCAAACATGGGTGTATTTGCGTTTCCAAAATTTGCTGCGCTACCAAACACAGGTGCTCCTCCAAAGGCGGGTTTAGATTGAGAAAATAATCCAGAACTGAATGCCCCGGTTGATGCAGTTGCTCCGAATATTGAGTTCGTAGTCTGCAGGGTCGAAGAATTACCGAACGGATTAGCCGTGGATGTTTTATTAGCTCCTCCCATGTATCGATTTAGAATCGGCGCATTTGCTTGAGAAGTGGAACCGCTAAATAATGATGGAGCGGATGTTGCTCCACTGAATACTGATGTTGTTGATTGCGATGTTTGAGGTCTGGCAAATACATTGTTTACTGGATTGGATGTTCCAAAAATACTGGGCTGCCCAAAAACATTCTGTGATGCACTTCCACCAAAAATAGAACCACTATTGGTATATGAATGATCTGTATTGAATGTAGTAGTAGTATTTGTAGTTCCACCAAAGACAGAGCTAGTACTAGTTCCACTACCAAAGCCCAAGTTATTGCCAAAACCTGGAGTCCCTCCAAATATAGGATTGGATGTATTGGCTCTTCCAAATATCGATGAGCTACTAGTAGAAGTAAAACTTCCACTGAAAGGATTGCTCTGATTTCCAAATGTTTTACTGCCAAATACATTAGAGGTTGAAGTGTTCCCCGGGATACCTAATTGAGGAGTTGCAAATGAAAAATTTGATGATTTTCTTAATTTATTTCTACTTGTATTTAATTTACCTTTTTGACCAGTCCCCTGAAGTTCTTTCTGAAAAAGAATATTTTTCATAAAAATTTGTAAATCATGCTCAATGTTTTTAGTGTTTACTTACAAGCATCTCTATAGTCTCGTGAGTAGGATTCTTTAAGGCTTCTCTTTTGGCTTTCATGTCTTGACACAGTTGTTGAAAACGTAGTTTCTGAAAAAATGTAACAGCCAAATGATTTATGAGCATTCACAATATGTAATGAATTATAGTTATTATATACGTACCGCCTGTTCAACCATCCCATTCTTTTGTGCTTGGTACATCTCCCATCGTACTTCCTCCGGGGATACATCTTCCATACCAGGAATACATGGTTTTTGTTTAAGTGGCGCAAAACAAGATAACAGCCATTGCCCTCCTCTTTCGGCACTAAGTACTTCTTTTGCAACCGCAACCCTAATTTTAATGATAACAATTGGATTATTAAAGCATTTTAAAATTTAATAAAAATTGACTTGATTTTATGTTACTTTTGAACCATTAATTATGATATAACATACGCTGTATATTCATCCTGATTGTAAGATTCAGTCTTGGTGTTGTTTCCTACAAAAAGAAAGAGACGAATTGATGTTGACAGAAAACGTATTGTGAACGTGAATTATAATCCATATTTTTTTTGACTTACCGAATGTATTTATGTGTTGAAACTGACAGTACTGTCCAAAGCGACAATTGCCTTGTCGATAATATTTACAAATAACCATTGTACAGGTAATTGGCTAGGTTCAGTGTTGTGAAACTTTACATCTTATATTGCAATTAAGTTATCCAGGACACCAGCATGTTTTCCATGATTCACACTAGAGTGCGCAGTTATGCAAACATTAAAAATACTGAAATTTATAAAATAGAAACAAGTTAACATGTGCCAATAAATATCGGTTTTCATTATATGCACATAAAAAATGCAGATTCAGGTATCAGTGATTAAAATAAATTGGAATCAAATTGTCAGCCTCTTTAACTTGAAGGAATTTTTGTATAGATATTTAGTTACTGCTTGTAACAGTATTTAATATTTTTTCAGGTACCACCTAGTGACAAAAGAATAGTATTAATTGGCAAGTAACTTGAGTGTTCTGGCGTAGATGGTGCCACTCGACACCTTCATCATTTTCCAATTGCACATAAAAAATTCAGTATTAATTTAAAAGACTGCAATTAAAGTTGTACTACTTCGCTATAGATAAAGACGATAATTAGTTTAAATATATGTATCTAAAAATGTGCATACGCCGAGATTAAAATGTACTGTATGCCATTGAATAATACAGAATAAGAGAGAGCTCCCATTCCGGACAGTAGCCTTAGTTTGCCAGAGTGGGGCGGACAACTATTTTGATCGTCGGTGTATGCGAAGCACCGCGATAATTTTCGGACAGGATGCGTTCTGAATTTGTGCAAATTCGCTGACGACCGCCCGTTATCTCTGTGGAAGTCTTTTCTACGAAACAGGAACAAGAAAAGTTAGTTTTGGTTATCAGTGAACTTCGGAACACGCCCCACGCCGTTGAAATTAAACCGGCCGAACTCAACCCCCCCTGATATGCATGAAACGTAATGTGTCACCTTTCACGTGTTTCCGTGGATCTTTTCTAAAAGGGGCAAACTGTTGGAAGGAGTAGAACATTGTTGAATTTTGATCACGACATTTCATAGCTAACTCGCAAAATGGTAAGAGTTCCTTCCAGATTTTACTGAAATAGGTTATGGTAATTTGTGTTCTTTAGGATGATTAAATTCCTTATCAGTAGACAGGATGTAGCAATAGTATGAATGGATATGTTTCACGCCCTACTATTCTGTCATATAATATACTATACTACGTTTATGCTAATGTAAAGTACTATTTAATTAGTGTCCAATTTGTAGTCATGTTCATGTATTAGAAAGTGTATCAGCAGGATATGGTAGACTTAATAATAGCTTCATTAAAGAAATTGAGTTAATCCATTTGTAAGAAATAGGGTTAGATGTACAGTTTCATTTTATTGGTGTACCTATATACTTTTTAAAAGTTTTTAGTCTTTCCATGAGCTATATGAAGGGCGTAAGAAAATCATTATGGTTTTTAGAAGATAAGACACGAATTTATCAGCAGAGATTATAATTGTTGTTTGTTTTATGTTCTACAGTCTGCGACTTTGAAACCTTACTTGACAGCAGTAAGGAGGACACTTACTGCTGCCATGTGTTTAGAGAATTTCTCTTCCCAAATTGTCGAAAAGCACAATAAGCCAGAGGTTGAAGTGAGAGCTAGTAAGGAGCTTCTTTTGACTCCGATATTGATCAGTAGAAATGACAAGGAAAAGGTGCTGATAGAAACCAGTATAAATAGTATGAGAATAAGTATCGCAGTGAAACAAGCGGACGATTTGGAAAAAATTCTGTGTCATAATTTTACAAGATTCATGACAATGAGAGCGGAAGATTTTGTCATTCTCAGGAGGAAGCCTGTAGAGGTAATTTTATAAATTTATGAAAAATCAAATGCATGATCGATTATATTTATGACATTCAAACTGTTCTATAGGGTTATGATATTAGTTTTTTAATCACAAATATCCATGTAGAACAAATGTACAAACACAAAATTGTAGACTTTGTTATCCATTTCATGGAAGAAATTGACAGAGAGATCAGCGAAATGAAATTATCTATGAATGCAAGAGCTCGCATTTGCGCAGAAGAATTTCTAAAAAGGGTCAGTGCGGTGAATAAATTCAGCACATATTATCATGCTACTTGATTAACCAACAATTTTTATTTCAGTTTTAATTCCTGGGACACAGTGTGTTACCAACATAGCAATAATTGGAAACGTCAGGTCGCTAAAAGTAACAGTGCCCATAAGCTGGTTAATGCAGTTAGTACTAATTTAAGGATAACTTCCTGTACCCTGAACAACCCTCCACTAAAAATGCCAATTCCTGTTATTCTCCAGTTACAAAATCCACTAAATAAAGTTTTCGATTAATTGGTGTTATCTCCAGCTGTGTAATGAGTAACAAGTCTGAGGTTTATGTAAGTACAATACGGTATTAATTCACTGCGTCGTTGTAAACTGTAATAAAAGTAGGGGAGTGTATCTCGTTTTCTCAAAGAAGTTGGATAGAGTGGTGAACCGACATCCGTTCAGAAAGCATTTAAAATTAATTTTATCGTTCGAAAGTTTGGGATATAAAATTGTAAGAACGACTTTATAAACTTTACACACTGCAAGGGTAGTCTGATAGGACGAGGTCAGATCTTTTTCGAGTCTAAACTTTTCCATCTTGTAATCGTGGTATGCATGATCAATCCATAGTGTACATTTTTATGACAACGTACTAAGGATCAAGATGTTTTTCAACTGTAAATACGGAATGGCATATAATCTTCACACAGAATCCTTTTCTTAACAAAAACACTTTCGGTGATGAATTAATAACGTATAATTTGATATTGAGTACTTTCGCGAGTAAATCTAGCACAAAGAGAACGAACGCAAGAATATGGTGCAAAGTCGGGAAGGCTTGAATTTCCGAACATCGGGAAGTTTTTAACGGACATTCCTAATTGTGGAGCCGTCGTCTATGTATCAGTGCATCGTTAACACTAGTAACTGTAAACACAACTAACGTCCACCGACACTGGGTATTGTAATATGTTCGACAACTGCCAAAACACTATTTAGCATAGCGAATCGATCAAGGGACTGTAATTACAATGTTCTTAAACGGTACGAGTAGTTCTTAAGGTGTCTATACTATAAGTACCATGAGAGCCGTACCCTCATCACGGTGTATTTATAACGAACAGAGTGGTGTACTTTTGGATTTTCAGTAATTTCCAACTGAAGTTCAACGCTCGAACACTGTGGAACGCGCGTTTCAATTTTTGCTGGATGGTGTTCGATTGTCCCTCTTCCCCCATTTTAATGCTATTCGAGCTGGCGCTTACTCGAGAAATGGTTTAGCAATGATCACGTGCTTCTCAGAGTAACAGACAAGACGGTGGTGTGTACGTAATGCGTGCAATTCCTTTTGCATTTACAAAGTTCTATTTATCTTACGAATCATTGTAACCATATGATTTAATACTAATGTAAATACAAATAAACGAGAAGAATCAGAACGTGCAGCCACTACTTTCCTCTTTAGCACTAGGCTCTGAGCATAGAAGACTAAGTCAAACTTCACTGAGAATAAGACTAAACATTAATTCCAAGTTTCTGTTAAAGAATACAATTACAAATATCATTAACACAACGAAAACCATGATATCCTATCCACATATTCATCGATCTCACTCAATTGTTTTCCATTTATTAGAACGTTCATCGAGAAGCCATCAAATTCCAAGTCCACCCCACACTCTTCGGCGAACCGTTCCTCTCCACGAAGATCCAGCTTCGATCAGTGAATCCCAGGGACCAATTCCCAATAGCACATTATCGTTCAAGGTATTCCTATGTCTTTGATTAAAGTAATTATCCCCGTCACGGTACCTTCAGCCCCCACCCTCGTGACATCCGTCTAATGTCCGCGTCGCTGATTCCTCAGGTAACCGTCCCACTCCTGAAAGTCTGCAACCTGTCGCGCGGAGCACAAAGGCCATCTCGAGTCATGGAATCCGTCACGTTCGCGGTGACGACTCCTCGTTCCATGGGGAAGGGTGCCTTGGCGGGCAGTCGCACGGCAATCGGCAATGCCATTCACCAGTGGCAGTCCGCGAGTTTCCCGGCGACGAGGTATCGCGGCGTCCTCGCGCATTTCGATCGGTATTACCTTTGGTTGTGCAGTTCTCCGCGGTAACAGTGGCTCCCCTTCTCTCCCCTTCGCGGCGGGGTGGGATTAATCAAATTGAACGTGGCGGTCACTCACGAGGGTAGCTCCAGGGAACCGGTATCGGCGACGTTATCAATTTTAACCCTCGTGCACTGTTTCCGGTCAATTACACTCGAACGTAGACTCCCGTTTTCAATTGTATTTCTTGCACAAATTTTCTAAATCAACATCATACCGTAAGCTCGCACTCAGCAACATTGTACACGGCATGAGTCACGGATAAGCCATTTATCTTAATTGCACGTCAACTTTGATCCAATTCTACAATTGCAATTTTGCTAGATATCAATGCAACGGTGCACCGTAGCGAACATTGACACTAATTCTCTAGTTCCTCGAATCTGACGCCTGAAAACCGTATTAAGCTTCAAGTTCCACATAACGTTCTACAATATATTTCGTAATCGTACCCTCGAACTCATCTTCTCGCGTAACGGAAACAATCCCAATAACGTATTCGTTAACCGCTCAAACTTCCGAATTCCTTAAGGAGAACGGTAATCCCGCGCCGCCGACTTCGCGCAAAGAGTGTCGCCTCGTTAAAAAACGCTTCGTCGCGCCCCCGAAGAGCGAGCGTCGTCCGCCGGGCAATTATTAAAAACAGAGAAACAGTTAGCCGGGTGAAGGGTCGCGGAACGGGGCCGGGGGACGGGGGGGATCGCAGGAAGCACCAGAAACAGAATCCTCTCGCGGAAACTTTTAAGCCCGCGGTCGTCTCGCGGCCAGTTACGAAGTTCCGCGGGGCCGTCGCCGGGCGAGGGGGTGGGTCGGCTTCAAGGGGTTCGCGTAATCTCGTTCGCGGCGGTCGCGATTTCGAGATTACCGCGTTCCAGGCCGCGCTATTTTCGAGGGTGAGCCTCTCTCCGGCCCGGAAGATTGTTGACAAACTTCCGGCGTCGGTGGGGCGTCGTTCCGAACCCCGCTAACGGGGGTTTTAGCGTCGCTGATCCCCAGAAACCGCGCGCGCCCGCTCCGCCCGCCTTGCCGCTCCGTCTCTCTCTCTCTCGCTCCCCGTTTCTCGCCCCTTCTCCCGGCGTCGCGTTTATTCAGCGAAATCGCGGCGAAAAGGGAGAGAAACTCGGCTGCTAGAGGAGACCTTCGAGGCCCACACCGCTAATTCCTAACGAGCGCCCAAAAATACACGCCGGAGAGACTGGCTGCGACGCTGCTCTGTAGATAGCTGCGAGGAAGAGGGCCGAGGAAGAGGCAGGTAGA